TTTGTAAGATCAAACATCAGCAAAAACCCCATTGCATCCCGGAAGAAAGCGGCTGTAAGACTTCTAAACCTGGAAAACAAAAGTCAAAGAACTAAGAGATAGATAGATAGATAGATAGATAGATAGATAGATAGATAGATAGATAGATAGATAGATAGATAGATAGATAGATAGATAGAAGATAGATAGATAGATTAGATAGATAGATAGATAGATAGATAGATAGATAGATAGATAGATAGATAGATAGATAGATAGATAGATAGATAGATAGATAGATAGATAGATAGATTAGATAGATAGATAGATAGATAGATAGATAGATAGATAGATAGATAGATAGATAGATAGATAGATAGATAGATAGATAGATAGATAGATAGATAGATAGATAGATAGATAGATAGATAGATATATAGATCGAGTAAAAACACATTCAATGAATTTGCAGCTGGCGAATACAAACACTGCTTCTGCTTCTTAAAGTTCTATGTTGCTCAGGCTTCTTTAATACCAACAAAATTGAAAAAAACACTTCCTTCAAAAATTCCTCGAGACAACTGGATCTTAATAGAAGCATATGGTGCTGAAAATGTGCAAAATTCGCAATGAGGCCGTTATATTTAATGTGCTTCGCATTACAAAACTTTTTCAAAATTCATCATTTTAAATTCGATGGAGCTGTGGCTAGAATAATTTTGTTTCCTGTTTGGTTTGTGTGACAGACATGTCAACAGCAAAATGAAATGCTTCCATGACCTTGATTCAATTTTAGCAATTAAATCTTCTTGCGATTTCCGATAGCTTTTTGCTCGCAGTTTCGAATGTTGTCCACTACCGCAGCTAGGCCAGCCAAAGCGAGCAGCGTATTCAGTTGAGAAGGGAAGACCTATTGTTTATATTAGCCAATCATTGAGAGGACAGACTGCCTTTAATACAACTAAATACCGTGAATCATTTCTTGACTATGAAAAACTGTCTTTGTAAGACATTTTAGAAGCACAGCTGATTAGCTGATAAATATCATCTATTTTATTACCAGTTTTAACATCACACAACTCTTTTTTCCTAATAAAAATTTGTTCTTATATGAAAGCATATTCAAACTGCAAGTTAAAATTGAGGGGTTTTATTTTCAAACGAAGTTATTGACTTTACACAAGCAGTAGAATTTACATTTATCACAGAGGAATTTTTAACATGTAAACTTTTGGGGAATTTCCCCGCCAGGCCCTTAAATTTCCCCACTGGTTGCCCCATGATTCCCCACAAGCAAGTGCCGTGTTGTTAAATATTTGCTGAATGAGCTCATATTTTTGTTTCTGTTTGTTGACATTTGAGATGCAGACCTACTTCCTAAGAATGACGACTACACCACTGAGAGTAAGGGCTGACGTGCAAGAAATCGAAGCCTTGCATATAATGCATACAGCAGTGTATCGAGGGGGGACAAGGGGGCGTCCTTTTCCCGGACCCCCTCTTGTCGGACTCTTGTCTGCCCCTCAAATCTTTCAACCCTGGCTACGCATACTCACCCTTTGCTTTTACCGTCAGTCGCGTCACGTTAAGAAAAATGCCCTTTTGTGTCAATTTCCCATCAGCGAAAATTTCTTAAAAGATCCCCTGATTTATTGTAAAACGTTGAAGTTATCAAAATACCTTTCTTGTCCGGCGGTATCCCAGAGTTGGAGATGAACCCGCTGTGCCTTGGACGATCGAGAGCCATCCGGATTCAGAGGACGATGGTGCTAAAATTAAACAATAGAAATGTCAGTCAAATCAAATCACAGTGTTCTGATTGGCTAAAGGCTTGAATAGGCGATTGTGATTCCTATTGCAACTAATCCTTGAAATCAATCAAAGTCTGGAAGTCAAAACAATAAAACCGGTTAATATAGTCCTGTCTTCGATTCAAAACGTGCCCGGACCCGGGATTTTACTCTTGCTAGCATTTTCAGAGGAAAAAATAACAAAACTTGTTCAAAAAGTACGGTCTTTCAGTTACGAGAATGCCCGGACCCAAACCGGTTGTCTTGTTGGCATCTTCTGGGTGTATTTGGAGATTTGGACATTTGGGGGGGGGGGGGGGGGGGGTGGGGGAACGCACGGAAAGTTTTCAGTTTGAGCCCTAGTTGTTATTTCAGTGAGTTTTGGGCAATAGGTTACGACACTTCATTCACTGAAAGGTAGGTATATATCTTGACTTAAAATGCATACAGCATGGCATGAAAATATTACACATACTACGAAGATTGACCATATTTTGAGAGAGTGAAAAAGAAAAGGCTCATACTTTTCTTAAATAGGCCCCAGCCAATTTCAAGTGATGGTTTCTGGTACAAATCATGAATGAATTTATTTCGGTTAATTGTAACAGTAGATTCACTTTCGACATCTGTGTTCCCATCCAATCGAAAGGTAATCTTACGGGCATTTAGATTTCAAAAACGCGACAACTCGCAGCAACCCGCGACAACTCGCAGAAACCCTCGACATCCCGCAGCAAAGAGCCGAAACACTGAAATTGCAGTTTAATGAATCAGCTTATTTGTTTACATAAAGCGAATCAGACATTTCATCTATATCTCTGCAACACCTACGTCAGCAACAGATAAATTGGTTATCTAGAATACAAAACGAGACATAACAAACGCAATCTGATTATCGCAATGGTTGACATCAATTATTTATACAAGTCGAGCAAAAAAGCAAGGTACATTCTATTTAGAAGGCTGCCAGGCCAATCGAGAATATTCTGAGGCAAAAGAAAGATTGAGCCCGTTTTGACGTCATGAAAAAATGCAATTTCTTCATCTTGCTTTTCTTAGGAATTGTCTCAAAACTTTTAAGAACCTTTCTCAGCTCGAGGCCTGGGCTAATATGCCCCCGCCAACCCCTTTCAGCGGGTCTGAAGGCAGTCAAGAATCGCACCAATACGAAAACATTTTATTCCACGGTTTCAGTACAAAAACGTTTTTAGAAAACCGCTTTCAGTATTCAATGTGCGTAGTTTAGATTATCCTGTAATTGCCCCTCTAAGAGGGGAAGGGAAAGGGGTAGTGATAATGCTGATAGAGGGGCTGACATACCGGGTGCAGTTGGATGCGACACTGTCAATGTTTAGCGGAATACGGCAAATTTTGCTTTGTATCAGTAGAAAGAGCCCTTCAGTATTTGGTAGTAATTAAACGCCAAAATCTTCTAATTCACCCTATTTTCTCCACGACTTTAAACAAAAGAATTCTGCTTCAATGGCCAAGATTGAAAATTTACGTTACAGAAAGCAAAGATTCTGGAAATCATAGCTAAAAATTGAAATGTAAAAATGGGCGTTTCCGTCATCTTCTAGCACTTCAAAGGTGAGGAATAAAAGTCTACTGGCTTTGTTACATCCAACTTTCCACGCCTCTAGAATTCATCGCTTGTTTTAATGCTTGTCTTGAAATGTTTCACGCACAACGGTTCTACGATAACTAAATTCATGTAGAAATTCCTATTTGATTTAGGCCCGAAGTTTCTGTGTAGGAGCATTTTGGTCACGTGACTATACCAAGGTTTATTCGGCGAAAAAATTATCGAAGTATGGCCTAGGCAGGCGAAAACGTTTTTATACAGACACAAATAACAAATTTATAAGAATAACTCATTAATAATTTAAGTTTCTCAAGTCATTGTTGCGTTGTTGACTTACATAGAAACGGAATTCATACAACAAACAGATTTTTCCTTCAGCCGTCCATTGATTTACTAAATTATGAATTGCCTAAATAGTAATTCCACAAAAGTCGGTGTGAACGTGCTTCTAAACTGAACACTGTTTGTTTTTCTCGTCAAGACCAAAGCAGATAACCAATGTTTGGGCATTGCATTGAATTTCACGACAAAAGTTCGATTGCAAGAAACTCAAATATTAGCACGATAACTAGAATTTAAACATGTTCAAAGACTTCTGTGGAAATTACACTACTTTAATAAGCACATACGTAAACAATTCACTTCATGTTTGCGTGTCAAAGGCTACAACGAAATTCCATGCATTCTAAGTTTGTAGTTAGTAATTCCATACCGATCTTGTGCTTGTGTTTTTCTGATTGGCCTATTTTGATCCACAACTGGGTATATATTTTCCATCGTGTTCTTTCGGAACCTTATTCTGACGTTTTATGCTCTGAGGAGTGTCAGACGAAAAAGCTTTTAGTATGTTGTAAAATGTTTGCTTTTTTCAAAGCCATTTTCGCATTCTAAGTTGTTGAACTGCAATCTGGATCACATCAAAGTAAATATTGAATTGCTTTTTCATAGTGACATCTGTAATTTACAAATATGCAGTTGAATCTTGTTAAGTTGTACCCCGGATAACTCGGACCTTCACTAAGTCGGACTGAATCCGGATTCCATTTGGATTTTCCTACCTAATTCAACTAAAAAGTCGTACCCCAGCTAACTCGGACTTTGGTTAATTCGGACTGTTTTTGATTCCCATTGCCGGACATTTCCGAAGTCGGACCATTCCTAAGTCGGATCATTTCCTTACCTCTTTGAAGGTCCGACCGGGATGCAACTGTTTTGAGTTATGATATCATACCGAAATCATTAGCAACAATTCATGAGAATTGTCTTCAAAGCCTTCAAGCTACGTTGTAGTGATGTTATTACTTCACACGATGTTGGTATACGCGATCTGCGATTTTACTGAACAACATTGCTTAGGGGAGGAGTGGAAGGGAAAAATAGAGTGAGAGGGAGGCAAAGAGTGAGGCAGAGAGTGGGAGGGAGGCAGAAGACTGGAGGGAGGGAGACAAAGAATTGGAGGGAGGGAGGCAGAGAGCTGGAGGAATAGGGGCGGAGAGTGTGGCAGAAAGTGGGAGGGAGGCAGAGCGTGGGAGGGAGGCAGGCAGAGACTGAGAGGGAGGCAGAGAGTGGGAGAGGGAGAGGCAAAGAATGGGAGGGAGAGGCAGAGAGTGGGAGGGAGATAGGCAGAGAGTGGGGGGGAGATAGGCAGAGAGTGGAGGGGGGGGGGTAAAGGATTGGTGTGAAGAAGCAATCTGTTAGACTTCTAATCAGAACTCAGAGATTGTGAAAGATTGAAGCCACAGAGAGATTTTGGTGTAAAACGCAGGTAAAGAAATCATTGACTTGACGATTACCAAAATCCTACAAAAATCTCAAACTGAAGAAGGGATTAAGATTAGAAAACCAGAAACTGGAATTTTCTCTCTTGAAATGCAAGATTAAGCACCAAATAGCAGTTTTTAATACTTCGCAAGAAAATTTTATTTTACGGTATGGTAAAACAGTTAGTTGAAAACCGCTTGATTTGTGCAAGCAAAAACTGCAGGTGCTACTAAGAATTCATTATTAAAAAGATTCAATATTCAAGTCAAAAATTCATTATTAAAAAGGTTATCGGGATTATTTAAATTCGATTAGGTTAATACAGCTCTCAGAAAAACACAGGGATTATAAGACGCAGTAAGTACTTTTTCTTGAAAACCACATCAAGGCGAAAAAGACAAAACCACAGATGACCTTTAAGCTAAGGATAAACGGTGAACAGAATCATGGATAGAAAAAATGCTCTATCTACGAGGGAAATTGCTTACAGAACAACAAAGTTGCTGTAGCCAGAATTTCTCTATAAATTCCTTGTTCTTTCAGCATTTGTAAACAGTTGAAATATTGTCAGTAACGCATACACTTTAAGAAGAGAAATTAGCTGCAGAGGCAAGCATTTGTTTATAAGAAAAAGGAGGACAATAGCCTATTGTTATAAACAAAGGAAAGTCACTAGGGCCCCAGTTGCCCCCCTCTAGTTAGTATGTTAAAAAAGGCCCTGGAGTAATAGTCTGACATTTCATCAGCTACTGATTTTTTTCAACACTGCAATTGAATTAATTTAAGGTCAAAATTGCATTGGACAGTTAATATTTGTCTAAGATAGTCTTCAGTTGTGACATAGGAAATGGGGGGCACAGGGGCAGACATTTGATCAAATATTGGGGGGGGGCAAGCCTATTGTTTTAAAAAGATGACATCACATTTCCCATTGTTGGATGCCCCCTCTCACCCCCCAAGTGTCCACCACTGGGGGGGCAGCAGATTCACCTGCTTACTTACACTATAATGTGGGAATTTAGGAAAATTCAAAGGTCCTGCTGTCCCAATTTCCTGATGCTTCCATAACTAACGAAGTGCCCCCAACCATTTTGGAAATATGTGGCCTTGCCAATATATTTTTTCTCTATTCGCGGAAAAAGTCAAGTAAATCATAAAAAAGACAAAATATATAAAACTTGTTTCCTTTTCTATTAAAAACATGTGAGAAATCTACAAGTCTTGATTCAAAAATTAAAAAAAAACATTGTCCAGAAAAGATAAGAAGTCAGCGGCAAATTAAGAGATAATCTCCTTTTGTCAATACTTTGTATTTTGCCTGCTCTAAACTTGTAGTTTACCAATAGGAAGAACTAGTTTTAGACCAAAGATCCTTATAAAAGTAAGAAAGCTTCTTTAAAACCTCACTATCTCAGCCTCTAACTCAAGCCATACAAATATAGCCTCTACATTACAGGTACCTGTCATGCTACAGATATTTCCCTACCATTTTTATAACTTTTAATAAAGGACAAATCTAGACATTAAACAAGGGGCATTCCCCAACAAGGGACATTTCCAAATAACCAGGGGCAGACACTTTGTCAAATATTGGTGCGGCAAGCCTATTGTTTCGATAAAATGACACCACATT